CTGCTGTGGAGGATGCAAAAGGTGAGCCTGGCACCTGGAGGATAGTAACTGAGGCGCAGGGAAGCAGCTGCTATGGCAAGCAAGGCGACCTGAAGGGCAAAAGAGAAGGTGAGGTGAAAATCATCTGGTATGAGGGAGCTAATAAGATCAAGACTGCTTGGGTGGAAAGCAGTGGTGTGGTGAAGCTGAGGCCTGAGGAAGCTGCTAAGAAGTTCAAGAGGAAGCAGCTCAGCCTGAGCAGGGGGAAGTAGACAAAGTGGAGGTAGTGCCGACAGGCAAGCTGAAGGCTGGTGGGCTGAGGGAGCAGCATCTGGTGCTGGCTTGGAGCCTCACCAGGTGGAACTTGCCTTGTGGGCAGGAGGAGGTCATTCTGCCTGATCCTACACTGACCTACTACTACCTGCAGAACTTGGAGCATGAGGCTGACCCAGAGGCTGCGGCAGTGCTCAAAGCCATGCAGAAACAGGTGTAGGCCAAAGGCAAGTTTCTGTGCCCCATAGGGTCAGGCGCCCACTGGACCTTGCTTGTGGTGGACACAAGGCACGAGCAGCCTGAGGTGAAGTACTATGACTCCCTACAGCCAGAGAGCTTGAGGTGCAAGGATGGCACTGACCTTGCTGAGGTGCCTGTGGGCTGAGGTAAGCCACCAAGGGGAGCTGAGGAGGTGCAATGCCAGGACGAGGCAAGAGGCTGGCACTAACATGTGCGGCCTCTTTGTCATAGCCTTCATGGAGTCTGAGGCTGCAGAAGGGGCAGGATGTGGCCCAGCTTCCACAGGGTGGCCTTGAGAGGCAGTGGTGCTGTGGCAGGAGAGGCTGAAACCTGGCAAAGCTTGAGGCTGATGGCTTGAAGGCTAAGGAGGCACAAGAAAAAGCAGCAGCTCAAGCTAAAGCAAAGGCAGAAGCTGAGGAGGAGCTGTCCGAGCTTGAGGCAGAGGCATTGAAGCTCATGAATGAGAACAAGCCATTTGGTGAGGAGGATCTGAGCCATGAGGCTAAAAATGAGCTTCAGAGGATCAAGGATGAAGGAAACATAGGGATCTGCAGCAAGTGCAGGTGGAGGAGTGGATGCCTCAACTGCAGCTTTGAGAAAGCATTGAGGTACCACTTGAAGAAGGAGGCACTGAGGGCAGGAAAGGCAGTGGCAAGAGCACCACTTGAAGAAGGAAGCACTGAAGGCAGGAGAGGCAATGAAGGAAAGGAGTGAGAGCATTCAGACAGGCTGAGTCATGAGGAAAAGGATGCTGCTGCTGTCTGCGACGTCTTTAATCAGGGGGGTTTTTTAAGGGGTGTTTTTTGGCCAAACCTTGTGGGTGCCTTTAAAGTAGTATTGCCTGGAAAATGGTCTGGGGAAACCAGACGTCTTTAATCAGGGCGGGTCTATTAATCATGTTCCACCATTACGCCAGTGGGCAAGGATATCCCCGACCCGGTGCGCCAAGGATCAGCAGGCCGCTGGTCATGACGACAATGAAGATCAGCAAGGAGCCCCAGAAGAGGTCCAGCAGCATGCCGCCCAACGTCTGGATCAGCACGTGCAAGTTCTGGAACCTCTGGTTTGACAACCGACTAAAACCAACCAACTGCAACCAGCCATGCCAAAGTTCCGGAAGCTGCTCTGTTTCCAACCAAACCAACCAAAAAAAGGGAGGGCATGACACCCGTGTCTTGTTCACCACCAATCGAAGGACTGTTTGGCCAAGTCCTGATACCTTGTCTGCTTCGGCTCGGCAAGTTGGCCCAGAGCTTCAAATGGGTGTGACTCCAAATGGGGAGTTACTAGAAATGCGTGGGACGCCCTTGTAGGGAATGTGAAAATAACCCCCTTGTGGGTTCCACTTGCTGTTGCACAGGCCAGCCTGTAGCTGCTCCAAAACCTGCCAGCTTCGAGGGTCTTAAAGGAAGAAATGCAAAAAAAATGAGGCACGAGCCCTTGAACCTGTTAGCTGTTCTGTGGGTTTCAAACGTTGGAGAAATGGAACCTAGTTTGGCTGTTCCGGGCTGCGACCTTTTGAATCAAAGCCCCAGACAGAACTTATACAAGGGACCTGAGCCTTCGATCTGTCGCGGCCTACAACCCCTTTTTGTGTCAGAAGAACAAGAGAATGAGAAAAACAAAATGCCCATTAAAACTCGATGGTTGGGCATGGTTGGGTATACCCCCCTTGAGAAACGTAAACGGTTGCTCCTAGTTTTGGAAATGACCATCTCGTTCTGTGATTCCAAAATGATTGATTCCCTTCCCCGTGACAAGCTTACCCTCAGGCGATTCCATGGAAGGTCTGCCCCTTTGGAAGACTGCGAGGCTCTGCGTCCTTGATTGAACAGCTAAATGGTGTTCTCCTCTGCTCAATGTCTACACTGGATTGAGCCGATGACCGCGCGAACCGTACATGGTTTTTCTGTCCTTGCCAAAAGGGTCGGTCATCCCACGCAAGAATTATGGCCCGCAACTCCATGTTTCAGGAGCCTCCATTTTCTGGGGGCTCCCCTGGCAAGGTTGCAGGGTGAATGACCTAAAACTACAACTGCGGGGCAAGTGTTGCAAACCCTGCAATTCACCCGGAAATTTCATGCATGTGCTTGGACAACCCTTGCTTTATATTCGCCAGCTTGTGTCAGCCGCCCTGCTTGCAAGCCGAGACACAGCTTCATGAACCTCAGGATCCTGTTTGGACCCACATCCCCCCAACCCAAGAAGAGCGTGGAGGGGCTCCCCCTCCCATGTCTTTCCATCTACTGTAAGGGCCTCAAAACCAAACTGAGCCATGCTCACAAGGGAATGATGTGTGTACGTCATTATTCGGCCTCTCAGATTGACGTTCAATGTGCCCACAATCCGGGAAGATGTATCCCTTTGGGCCTTCGGGATGGACCTACAAACCCTTGTCTAACTCCTCCCTTTCCTCTGCAGATTGACAAAAGGAATCCTCGAAGCCAGCCATTTGTAGGAACGGACCCTGTTTTGGGATCGGACCCCGGCTGCATGTTGGATTGGCAACACGGAATTTGCCACAAGGGCCAGACAGCTTCGGCCCGCTCATTGCGCGCATCCTTGTCAATGTCTACTGAAGCCTGCATGGTCGTTGACCAAATTTGCAGACGCCCTTGCGATTGACCATCCCCACCAAGCCCAGGCAAGGGTCATTCCATGAGACGAACTCTCCTAGCCAACAAGAGACTTCGTTCTAATGTCAAGGATTCAGAGGCTCAGCACGTCTGTCAATCCAGAATGTGACTTTTGCAACTGCAGCCCCAGCGTAAGCCTTGTTCCCGCGTAAGCAAACAAAATGCCACCTTCGCAGTCACCCTAGATGAGTTGGAGTGGAAAGAATCCTCACAGTTGCAACCCGCGCAGCCCGGTCGGAACACAAGAAAGTTTTGGAAGAAGAGAGGAAGGTTTCAACCTTCGAGGAGAAAGGAACAAAGGTACAAAAAAATGAAAAACAACTTATTCGTCAAAGAGCAAACATCCCAAACATGAAATAGGCTCAGGTGATATCCCCAACAGCACGCGGTGCTCTTTTTTGTGCTCGGGCCCGCGTGGGGAAGCAAACCACCGATCCAAGCCACCAGTCATAGCGCACCGGTTTGGGCACCTTAGCAGCAAAAGCGTCAAAGCAAAACCGGCGGTGCGTTGTGATTGGTGGCTCGGATTCGTTGGGCGCCGCTTGTGTACCTTTGCACAGGTAAAGCGGCATCCGGCGCCCGAAGCCCGACAGCCAACAATCGAGCCCCGATCAGGGCCCGACAGTGCAATCGGTGCCCAACTGGGTGGGGCCGGCTGCGCAACCACGAATCCGAGCCACCTACCGCTGGTTTTGGCTTGGATGTTGCTTTAGCTGTTACGGTACAGCCGATGGTGCCCGACCCGACGGACCTGATAGGTCCCGACGCAATCCGCGCGCCGGCTAGGTAACTGTAAAGCAGCCTTGTAAACACGCCAGACCCGGCTGGCAGCAGCGCCTCTATGCCACACCGACACACACGAAAGTCTCCACACTGCCCCAGCAGCCGCTTCAAGAAGCTCAGCTACTGAACAAACTCGTGTAAGCCTGCAGGCAAATCTCCCTTGCGTTGTCGCATGAAGTCTCGCACCACTAGTTCCTGCAAAGTCGCAGGCCACTTGGCTGCGCCCCTCACCGTGGCGCTGCCTCCTACAATATAACGCAGCCCCAAGCTCAACAAAATTGTCATAAACTGCGGAGGTCAAAGCTCCACTGCGAAGCAACAAGACTTGGTAGAACAACGGAGCTAACTTTATTCTGGCTTCTCTGAAATCACGGTCTTTCTTTTAAAAAAGACGCAAAAGGAGATAGTCGGACAAAAACAATCAAGGTTTGATAGGCTCATAAAGGGCACCTTCCTTCAAGGCTAGTCCCTTTGGAATTAACTCAAAAACATGATCTCTCTGCGCCTTTTCAACTTGTAGGGGGCTTATTGAGCAGGGGAAAACACTTTCTGCAGGTGATGCGAAACACTACTGCGGTGTTGTTGGGGAGTGCTTTGGCGCAGCGAGGCTGCCGTTTGGGGCTATACAATACTGGAGCAGCTGCGCTTTCATAGTCGCTCTGCGAACTTGGCTTGGCGGCGTCCAGAGACGGTGCGCCTCTGTGCCACTTCAATCTTTCTGTGCAAACAGCTGCCTCCGGCGCCAAAACTTGGTAGCAAGATAAGCAATGTTACAACTATGGGCAACTTCCTTCCCATTCCTTTTTTGGACTAGGGGTAAAGGGGACAATATGTTTGCGCTGTTTGCCGTTTGCTACTTGGCAAGTCGTTGAGTTTCTTTGCTTGCGTCTCTACGGCTTTTGCTTCGCGATAGCAAAAGGGCTTGTTCGTTAGCGTGTTTAGGAAAACACCGCCTCCTTAGCGATCACGTCGCTGCACGGAGTCCTCAGCGCCACGTGACAGATTGCTGGGACCAAAGGCACGGACCTAGAAAGGACAAAGCCGCCCACATAGCGAGCGCGCTGAGACAACTAGCGAGCATTTATGCGTTCATGGCGCCAGCCTCTTCTGCACTTTCAGGTCCAGAGTAGCCTCTTCGTTGGCCATCCAGCCAAAAATCCTGCCCACCATGCAGAAATTCCTTGTGCGGCGGTCGCGCCGTGCCCGCCATCCCGTGGCCTTCTTGAAACACGTTAGCCAAGGCGCGCACAGCAGGCGGTAATTTCGACGCCGTGGCCGTCGAACCGCTCTGTAACAGAGCACGCCCATTTCATGCTTAAACTCCTCTGCCACAAGAGCACCTCCTGCGCCGACCGGGCGGCCCACTTCCCGAAGGCCCGGCTGAAAGTGCCATTCCTTGCCACCCCAAGAACTGCGCTACAAATTAGAGCAGGTAAGTCCAGACCCTTGCCTTTTGCGGCCAAGAAGCTCTTGCGCCCAAAACCACACAGCTGCACGAGAGCTCGCTTGTCAATGAACCTTGGTAGGCCAGGCCAAACACAACCTCTGACCTGAGACCTTCTGGGCCCCAACTCGCAATCTTGCGTCCCGCGCAAGAAAACAAACCTGGCTCGCCGCAAGGCTCGCCTTGCGGCTCCAGAGGTGCATGCAAAGGCAAACCAGGGCCAGCTGCTCCGCCGGACGCTCCTGGAATGCTGCGGTGCTCAGCACCTTCGCAAGCAGCACCGACAGTCGCCTGAGCAAGACCCGACTCGAGACGACCCAGCGCTATTCGAACATGAGCTCGTTCTTGACTGGCATACATTTTGGAAGCCGAAGTTCGCTAAGTTCAGTAGAAGGGTGAGGTTGTGCACCCCCTTGCCCAAGCTATGGGCAAACGTGCCACGCAGGCACGCCAAGAAGGGCTGGCGCCAGCCAACACGATGGCCGAGTTCGTGACCTTCAGCCCTCCCCCAGCGGCCGCGGAGGGCGTGCCCATCCGGTAAAGGACGGACACAACAAGAAGAGCCTCCAGGATCAACAGCGAGGGTAACCAAACCTTCGCGCTACATTTGTCCCAAGCGCCGCGGCCAATTGCTCCTTCGGAAAATCGCAAAGGACAAAACATCGCAATTTTCCCGTAGTCCTTCCCAGCAGCCATTGGTCAACGGCGGAGGCTGACTGGCTGCCCTCCTGAGCTCCTCCTGAACCTAAACAAATTCAAGCCCTTCACCTGAAACGCCCCCAACAAAGAAAGCAATCGGACCACAAGATTGTCAATAAGGTCACGAAGGTTGTCCGCCGAACCCTGTAGAACCCTGTGGAACCTTAGCTTAGTGGAATCTTGTTCAGGGCCACCCGGGCCACCCCATAGCCCTCGCAGAACCTCCTCGTGACGCTTGTGGACACCCTTCATTCTTGTGGAACGCTGTGGAACCTTACCTCAGGGCTGCCCCAAACCACCCCATAGCCCTCGCGGAACCTCGTGGAGCCTTTGTCTGGTGGAACGCTGGTGGAACCCTCGTGCAACCTTACCCCAGGGCCGCCCCCAACCTCACCCTGGAACCCTTGTGAAACCTCAGGGCCGCCCCGGACCACCCGGAGCCTATCTGGGCTGAGACCCCAAAGCGTTCAGCTGTTGGGGAAAAGTGGGAAAAAGGGAACAAAGGACGAAACATCTGAAAAACAGAGTGCCGAAAAAAATCGACCTGCGCGCCGGCTTCAGTCCTCACCACCCGCAGGATGCGGCAGGCGCGGATGAAGCGGAAGATGATGAGCGCGTCCCAGTCGGCCAGGCCTCAAGAAATCGGACGAAAGCCACGTGAGCCAGTAAACCGTATTGACACCGACCATTTTGAGGGGTCCCCAGTTTTAGGAAACCATTCATCTGCGCCATTGTTTAAACTCGCAAAAGTGGGTCATGGTCATGGTTTCCTTGAAAACCGCTACAATGGTTGTCAAAACTTCCTAAAGGGTCTATGACCACCCCTGCCAACCCCCGAGTCAAGGAGTGTCCGAATCCAAAGTACGTATGGTAGGGGATCAGTTCACAAAGGGGAACCGAGATTCAACTCTAAAACAGGACAACCGTCCCATCTGATTCATCCTGGTTTCTCTTTCCCCTGGCTTGCTTGGTCAAACCATGGTTCACAAAGACGCAAAAGGGCTAGGGGCACTCTGGACCGATTTCGGTGTGAGCAGAAACAAGCACATTCCCCCTGCAAATGAACATTGGAACCCTAAAAGGAGGCTGATCCTGAAAGGAGCTTCTACAGATGAGGGCCAAGAGGGAGTTCACCTGAAGCGACTGCGGTCGACGCTGGCCTTCTTTTCTTGTTTTCCTTTCCGCCTTGCCACCTCTCATCTGGGCTCCCTCATGCCCGCTTCAAACCCCGAGTTGTGATCAAAGGAAACTCCTTAAAATCAGCAATCCAAACGCAATGAACCTGCAACCAAGACGAGGTTTCCACCACCCAAAATGGAATGGGATGGGTGTTTCCGAGAATTGAAATAACAAAGTGGCTTGCCTCCCCTTTGCAAGCCATGCAAAACGTGCGAGGAGCACGACACAGCCACCCCTCACCCCACCCTCACCCCAACCCCAAACCCCACCCGCCCAGCTTTTACCTCGTGCTCCATTTCTCCCATCACCCCCTTAGATCCCCGGCCAGCAGGGCGCAGAATGAAGGCTTCCACCGCGCAGACCTGGGCTCTGGTTCGTGAGCCAAAGAAAGCTTCATGGGTGACGTCACAAAAGCCCCCCCCGCCAATTGGTTCAAGTCCCTAGAGGCTGATTTGTTTTTCTGCCAATCCCTACACCCAAAATGCCGGCCGTAAGTGATCGGGAACTCGGGGCTTTGCGAATGAAACATGGGATCCCTTTCCCTCAGTCCTTGCCTATTGAACTGATGCCATCTGGGCAAATTGCGTAGCTACGTGTCGCAGGGAGGCCAGGCTTCCAGGTGTCCAGGGCATGTGTCTTCTTTGCTCAGCCTGCGTCCAGCTCCATGGACGTGTCTGCGTCAAATAGTTCCACTCGTCCCAGGAAAACGCGTTGCACCAGCAAAAGCGGGCAGCAAGCCGCCGCGCACTCAACAAAGTGCTGCACAAAAACAGCTTGCCAACAAGTCTGAGCCTGTATCCACGTGTCTTTCCCTCCAAGCCTGAACCATGCTGCACTTGCAGACATACAAAAAATCATACTTCATAAGGGCGGCTTTCTGCGCCTATTTCTGGCTGGGACCGGTCCCTTCTTCAATTTTGCCTGCGGGCTCAGGTGAAGTTCCTTTCAATCAAACGATGTTTCAGCGGAGAACATCCAAAGTTGTTCACTTTACCGGAGTCCCCACACTTCCCATGCAACTTCGCCAGCTCAAAGGACACTCGCTTCCAAATCGCGGCCAGAGGAGTTTGCAAAGGAGGAAATAGAGTAGATCGGAGCTCCGCTTAGGTTAAACAAATCTGGATGAATCATTCATTCACCAACCGGAATTGAGGAAGATGGGTGAGCTGGCCATACGCCGGACTGACGGACTGGTGAGCTCGCGACAATCAGCGCAGACAATTGGCCACTCGTTCGGATTCGTCAAGCCAAAGGAGAAAATGCAGGGTCAATCTACCAAAAGAGGCAATGTAGGGAACCTGATTTGGCGCGACGAAATACCCCAAGTTATATATCAAAATGGGATGTTATCAAAATGGAGCTGTAAGTTCATGTCAGGAAACATGCGGAAAGGAAGGGAACCTGGGAGAAAAATGAGAGAACTATCTGAACAGCTGTAGAATGAACCCGAAAAAAGAAGCACTCTCTGCCCTCGTTCTCTGCCACTGTTCCGAGTACCCGCACCAGCACCACCTCGGCTTTGCGGCTTCTGTCGGGGAGGGAACACACCCGAGATGGCTGTGATTTCTTGGTTCGAGAGTCGGGACCTTTTTGCATCAGACATCCTGGCTGGATTTATGTCCGCCAACCCGTGTTTGACAAGGTTCCAAACGCTTCAAAGTCGTAGCCAAATAAAGCCTAGGCGCCACAACCCCAGTAAAATTCGGAGAAAAAGCGGGGGACTGGGGGGGACCTGCAGCAACTCCGATGTTTAGGTCCTCTTCCTTTCCAGAGGTCCATGGCTACCCACCTACCCCTCTCAAGTTCCAAGGCTCTTCTGTTTGCTGTGAAACTTGGGACCTGTTTCCCTATTTTCTTTGAAAAATTCAGGTGAGCCGACCATGTCCTCATTTTGGGCTGGTCGCAACGAGACGAACCCCATATTGTTGAGGGCTTGGATTTAAAAAGAACGGCCGCAAGGTTTGGGGCCGGCCAACGTCTCCAACTTCCGAGGCGCCAGGGTGTCGGCAAGGTCGAGAGGCTGCTTCAGCCGGCTCAAGGGCAGGAACACGGTGCGCAGGACTACATCCAGTAGGTAGATCCTGGGAGTGGATACCGAAAATGTGTGCCGCTGCCAAAAACACGCCTGGCGCATATTAGAGGAAAATGGCCCCTTTCAGGGTCCATGTTTGTTTTGAGGAGGGTAGCCCGAACTATTGCAAGGGAGCAAGGAAAGCCTCCAATTTACCGTACAATGGGGGAACTTGGTGGTGACCCTGCTGTCACTCCTCTCTCACCCAGTTGGTAAATTGGGGTCCGGTGGTTTGAACTGGCTGGAGAAGACCGAAAACGCGCCAAGCGGAGTGGAGCAAAATCGGAAATGGATCGATCTGGGATAGGATTCCAAAGCAAAACCGGAGCAAAATTGGAAATGGACCCTTCTGGGTGGAAACCCCAAACAAAACCAACACCCTTAGGCTGGCGCCGTAGTGAAGAGATTCCCAAACAGATCAACCAGTTTAAAACGTTGTTGCTTTTGTGTTGATGCAAACACACGCGAGAATTGCTTGGTTGGGCAATTGGTTGGTCGTCGGTTGGTCGGTTGGTTGGTTGGTTGCTTGCTTGCTTCCTTGCTTGCTTGCTTGCTTGCTTGCTTGCTTGCTTGCTTGCTTGCTTGCTTGCTTGCTTGCCTGCTTCCTTGCTTCCTTGCTTCCTTGCTTCCTTGCTTCCTTGCTTCCTTGCTTCCTTGCTTCCTTGCCTGCCTGCCTGCCTCTTTGCCACTGACTCGGCTAAGCAGTGCGCCCCTGCGATTTTGCTCCGAGGAACGAGATGAACACGCACTCGATGCTCTCAAAGACGCCCTCTGCGCCCTCGAGGCTTCGGGGTTCAGGGTTCAGCCCAGCTGGCGCTATGGGCGGGTGAAAATTTAAGGAGAGCCAAGGGCTTTTGTCGGTTCCAAAACTAGTTGCCCAAGACTGATTAGTCTCCTTTTTGGTTTCTAAGAACAAAGACCCGCACCGTGACGCGGTTTTCCAAAATGGGAGGGGGGGGTTTGAAGGAAATCCTGAACGAAAGGAGGTCAAGTTGGTCCCATGGGATGTTTGGCTCTACCAAAATAGTTATTGAATGATCCTAAATTGACGCGCATTTTGAATGTGTTCTAGGAGATGCGTTCTAGGATGCTTATTGGAACGCGATTGGCTGCTCCCTGAGACTAAGGCAAAAACACAGGCCTCACCCTCAACCGGGCCGCCTGGAAATTGCCACTGGGATCGAGATTGGGACCTCACATGGTTCAACACCAGCCATCTGAATAGGGGCGTTTGACACACAGAAGCCGGAACCTCTCCAAATACTGAACCGCTCCTTCACCTGAACCCCTCGTGGTACATGATGTTTTGAGAGGGCATCAACGGCGCTGGGGACGGTTCGTCAAAACACAAGCAGAAACAGGGTTACCCCGAAATCCTCAGCTTTCCAGGGAATTGTTGGGCACAAAGGCAAAGGAATGGCTGACGAAGGAAACCAAAAGAAACCAGCCAAGTTTCTACCCTTGAGAATGCCTGCTTGCCTGCTTGCAAGCTTGCTTGTGTGTTTTCTTGCTGGCCTGGTTGTTCGTTTGTCTGTTTGCCAACTTGTCATTAGCTGTTTGGTTCGTTGGTTGGTCGGTTGGTTCGTCTGTCCATCCATCCGTCCGTTTGTGTCCAGTCTGGACGTTTGCCTTTGGCCCCAAAAACCGCGCCTCCCACCCGGCGTCGTCCCCGCGGAGGCCCAGAGTCTCCGCTCCCACGTAGCCAGCCCACTGCACCTGGCAGAACATGACCTCAGCGCATGCGAGGGTTTCACCCCAAACCCCTGCCCCAACGAACCATTGGATATGCAGTGTGTATATTATATATACATATGGGCATATACATATATAATGCTCACAATGTGATATATATATATATACATGCATGCAATATATATATATATATGTGCACACGCAAATCTATGGATATCTCGAGAGTAGTGGCTTTGGCGTGGTGGAAACCCGATGGGATCCTGCCCTCATAGGAACCACGAGGGTGTGTTCCAAACTTGTGGTTGGAGGACATCTTTATTTGAGGGAAGCCTTCCTGGTTGGTGGTGCAGGAACACCAAAGCAGAACCGCGCAGCGCAAGCCATATCCCATTTTGAGACGGAATTGCTCGCCCAAGGTTCCACAGCGAACCACCCCTAAAAAGGGCACTGCTCGGGGAAAAGTACTGCCATTCACGGCCAAAAATGTTGGCTCCTTTCACCCCCACATGCGCGCAGGAATTCGACAAGCTTGCCTCCAAAACGGGTTCTTCTCAAGTCCTGGAGATCTTGGGCCCCAATCCGGCACGTCCACTTTGGGCGTGTGAAAGATTGCCTCCGCTGGTACATTGCAGTGGATTGGGACACTATGACCGTTTTTAGCGGCCCAAAACCGTGCAAGTTCCGCCGAGGTTGGCCCTCTTGAAAGGGCAACAGTGCGCGCTTGCCACATTTGGCAGAGGGTGTTATTTTGAAACAAGTGCGGCTGTGCCAAATTTGTAGACCCTAAAATGGTTGTTTGCGTGTTGGTTCTTTGCTCAACTACGGATTTGTGCCAAATGATGTGTCGGCCTATTGAAATGGCACTTGGCCTCTAAACAGCACCATGAAGTGGGCTCAACATGGAAAATGTGGTGAGCCTCCCGTCTTCTGACTTGGTTGGATGGCATGGTTGACTCTCCCAGTGTGCCCCAAGTTACCAAAACCTGGAGAAGGATCCAGCTCGGGTTTAAACTTTCCGCAGCCCCCAAGAATCCCAGGGCACATCAAAAGGGTATCCCTCGAAAGGGGCTTGCTGCAGGGTGCGGGGCTTGGCCAACCTTTTGTTCAATCATGAATTGAAACACCTATCCTTCCAACAGTGTCCTTTTCATTTTCTCTTTCAAGGAGACCATCATCTACTTCAAACACATGTTGCAACTAGTTCCCTTACCCTTTTGGGCTAAAGCCCAACCCGTCTGTCAGGATGCGATCATGTTGGCAGCGATCACCTCGAGTCGATCACATTCGGCGCTGGAGGGACCCGTGACTCGCGGGATTCATAAGCCGCAGGCGAGTCAAATTTGCAAACCTCGGCCAACCTTGCGGAAGACCAAACTTGCAGCGTAATGGCCTTGGCGGTTGCGCTCCTGGGATCCTTGGAGGGAGGTTGCCAAGTTCCCTGACCGCCTGAATCCGCGTCCCAGACTCGAAGGCCTTCGTAATTATATGGTCTGAGTCTGGGGGTGATCACGACATGAGTATCCCCAAAACTACCACAGTGGCCTGCCCCAAAGCCCAACTTTTCCACGATCATGTTCAAACGAGAGATCCAGGCTGCATGCATGCGGCACTTCTCAATCCAACCTGGATTCACCCACAAGTCAAATCTTCGGATGCAAATTGGTGGTTTGACCCTAGCGCATACTATGTAGCTTGGGTTTTGCATCGAAGCCAGCCCAGAAAAGGGCACGCTTAAAAAACAAAGGGCGAAACACCTACCTCAACCTTTGCCCCCCAACCAAGAAATGTCATGTCTAATTCTGGTCCCTATTTAGTGAACCTTCAAACGCAAAAACAAAACATATTCAACAATAGACCCCGGATTAGTAACAGTACCATGGCTTACGAGGGGCGGAGTTACTGGGGGGGACACACCAATGAAATTACTTCCCGAGACCAGCCCACATCTCCGCCCAGGGCACGATGCCAAGCATCATATCGGACGTGTAGCCTCAGTGGGACCGCCTCCCATTTGTTTGACCAGAAGGTCCCAAGGCCGTGGAAAGCCTGAGAAATTGCACGCGTCAAGACCAGGTCCTTTTGGGGAGGGGGCATATCGCATGCAACCGATGAACTCAAAGGGGAAGGCTTCATGTCCACTGATCCCCACAACCCCAGATGAACGGTTTGGCAAGAAGCAAAAAGGAAACCCTCCCTTCGTTCCATTCGTCCTGGGCAAATGTTTTTGGTGCCCAAAAAAGCCTCTCAATTGCAGGGGCGTGCGATTTCCTACCAAATGCCGTGCTTCGGACGCATGGAATGACTAATGCGTTCCAAGGGAGATGCAGCTCAAAGGGCCCATTAGACCAAAGGAATAGCCACCTGGCCATGATAAAAACTCTTGAACTGCGGGCCGCAGCCAGTTGCCAAATCGGAACCCTCACAATGGCCGTCCCAAATACCCACCCCTGCGCTGGGCTATTGACCCTACATGTCCACATCTTCAAACCCTCTCACTTCGCACTTGCGATCCGGACTTGCACGGGCCATCTATGAATGAAGCCAAGATGCTGGACAGGTAGTTTCTGATGTGCATAATCCAGTCGTGTCCTGCGCACGAGCCAGGATCCAAATGTTTGCGATCGTGGCAACTTCCATATCCTCCTGACGGAAAAAGTGGGATATGTTGCAGGTGTTTGAAAGCTCTTCTCATTGTCACTTACAACCAATCTTGGAAGGTCAACTCTTTGGTGTGAAACCTATTTATGAAAAAGGAAGCTTGCTACTTGGTCGGACAATTCGAAACGTTCGAAAACTTACCCTCCCGTGCACATGGAATCCCGCGGGTCCCTTTTGAAGAAAATGGTCTTCCACGAGCCCCGCACTCCTCCGACTAGAGCGCTATCCCGCTGCGCCCGGGTGATCTGCGGTAGCAGGTCGTTCGCCTAGGTGAAACCCACAGCCCAAAACATGGGCTGAGGAGTCCCTATCACCAAAACCCAACTTTCCACAATCTTGGATTGTGTAAACGAGGTGTCTCCAAATCAATCTGGAATGGGTGGTTTCATCCTGGCACCGAGAGTACACGAAAAAGCGGGTGATTCACGGGTGTCTTTTCGAAGAAAAAACATGGCACTGGTAAAAATTAGATCAAAACCAAAACCAGCGCCGTGTTTAACCACACGGACCTAAGCACATCTATGTGCACAATCCACTGGCGGGCAGCGTGTTTTGGGGGCGAGTCCCCCCTCCCCCCTCTTCCGGCAGGAAAGGTCGAAACTGGCTACTTTCTTAATCACGTTGAGTACAAACTTCAGAGTACTCGCCGCTCAAGTTGAAAGGCCGTGACGTGGACCACGAGAGCGGTCCCCGTAGCTTCTGACACGTGGGAGTTGGCGGGCCATGCATTTCTCTCCAAAGAAGCTCGCAATAGGTGGCTTCCCTGTAGAAAGGGATCAAAGACAGGGCCCCATTTGACCAAGACAAAGCAAGTCCGACTTTGACTTTGACTCCCAAGACTCAAAGGGGTCCCAAAATATCCCATTCCACGAAAGCAAGCTCATGGTGTCAAACCCGCAAAGGATGGAACATGGGTATAACCCAAAGGCACACCATTTTGCTGCAGAATCTTCATTTGGGGTCTGTTTTTGCAACCCCCTGGCCCGCCAAAACACAACTGACTTTTCTGCGTAGTCCATGTGAGTCAGCATCAAAGCCCATTAAGATGGTCTGCCCAAAACCAGGTAAAGAACAATCAGAGACAAACCCAATGCCACTTGGCCCCAGCTGCTGTGTACAGGTCGTGGATGTGCGGAGCCTTTGACTTCGCACTGGCCATCCTGAGCTCAAAGCTTTCAATCCGAAGGCCGAAGCGAGTTTAAGGGTTCCTTCCTGCCAAACTCCAAGGGAGTTGTTTTCTCAAAGATGGTTCGCCACCAACCCATGAAGATGCTTTTCATTGTAGATGTGATTTAGCTTCAAAAGAGATCTGTTGCCGATCCGAAGCAAAGCTTGGCGTTTGCGAAACGAGCTCGATCAACAAGTGTTCCATCTTGGGAGAAGCTGCGGTCATTCGCCATGTGACACCCCAACGTAGTCCGACCTATTTGGCGCAAACTGCAAAACGGAAGACTTTGCGTGTCTGCCCCGCAGAATACGGCATCTAGGTTCAAGCTCGTAAAGCTGGTTCAGCTCAGATCCATTCGAACCCGACACGTATAGTTTGAACCTATCCCTGAAAGCGTGCGGGGACCTGATTTTCCCTCATGGGAACCCAGCTTGTGATTTGTTCCAAAACTCCCGAAAGCTAGGAAAAAATACCGACTTGGCCGGGGTCCCCAACTCAGTGCGGTTGGGGCAAGCCATTCCTCAGTACGCCCTCACGCTTGGTGGAGTAGCACCAATAGCATATGGGCGGAACCATTACAATGGCGATGGTTTCCGTCATCGTGGATATTCGAGAGGGGCAAAGCGAGGCGGCTACCCCTGGATAGGCCAAGGACAAGCCCAGGATAAGCATCACTACCATTTCCCAATGGACGGGTCTGACGTGACTTGGGGTGGTTCTCCTTTTGCTTCCTTGAAAACAACCCAAAAAGGATATGCAGTCATTCCTCAGCGGGAAATGAGAAACCACCGCCCCTGTCAAGGATTCAGCTCGTTGTACCCCGAATCACCCGAATCGATAAGCTTGTCAAATGGCCAGATGTACTCCAATGCAAGAGAGAGAGAGAGGGAGAGAGGAACAACCAACAGGCGAAACAAACCAAAAAGCGTGGCGCTTGCCCCCTGACCAAAAAAGTGTCGCTTGCTGGCCAGTGAAAAGAAAGCCGATTTCCCCAACGTCAAATAAATGAAAAAAAAAACAACATAATGAAATGAAAATTCCAAATAGGAATCGCCAAGACAAGCACGAAACAGCGCTGCCGCGCCGCTGCTCCACCTGCGAGCCCCAGAGCCGGGATCCGCCTGGACGTTTCGGCGGGGGCCTCTCACCTTGGAGGGCCTACCGTAGACTGCTGATCCTGGCATAGACCCGAGAGTGCCATGAGATTGGGAGCTTGGGAACCTACTTGAATTCCCCACCTGCTTGAAAATATTCCCCCATCAAAACTCAGATACGCTGTTTCTCGGCAGCCTGTGTCGACCCTGGCATGCTTGCAGAGTTTTGACATACTCATCCAACGAACAAAGCAATGAGCCTCTTCTTCCTTTCCCCGACCATAGTGACGGCTCGTAAGTTGCTCCATGCCGAAAGCCGAAACAACCTTGCAAGGCGATCCTGGATTTCCAGGCTTGGCAGTTTGCAGCCGGGTTGAAAGTGAGGAGACGTACCCGTTTTTGCGGCTGGACAACAAGGATCTGGGCAAAGTGGTTCACGGGCTCACTGACCCGGGACACCAAGAATGCAAGGTGTCTTGCATAGGGATTCCTCATTTTCAAGGATGCTTGGCCGGACGTTTGGCTAGGCAGGCTGAACATGGTGGGCATGGGACACTAGCGAAAAAAGCTAAGGCGGGGACGTACTGGCACAGATTGGACCTGGAAAACTGGAAACCAGGAGATTTGGGGAGTACTGGCTCCGTTAAAAGCCTTGAACAAAGGTAGAAAGGAAATCCACCGAGTCTAACACAAGCCTGGTACCAAAAGCGCCGACCCAAAGAATTTCAAGGGCGGAGATCCACAGATCCGCAGGTTTCAATAGCCAGGATCTGGCTGGGAGTGTCCTCAACCTTGATCTACCCAGATCTTGTTTGTGGCTCATGTGAAGATCCTTTCAATGAGACATTGGAACCTGCGATTTTTGCAGCCCACCCTCCAGCTCAACCTCCTCGTCTCAATATCCAAACTCCTCTGAAGCCACCAATTGAGACACCTCCGATATAGCATCGCCGATGAACAAGACTGCATCCGCGGCAAGCGCTCTTTCGCAGAGTCTGCAGCCACCTCCCTTTCAGTAGTGGGCACTCAGGCCAACCTCCTTGGGGCGTTGCCTGGAAATCCAGCACGGTCCATTGTCGGCCGCAAGACAAAGCACGACTCTTTCGGTACAAAGAGCAGCTTTCGGCACCGCCCCGTACTCCCCTTCATCTACCCAAAATAGTTTTGATTGTGGCTCACCTGCAATCCTTACGTTAATCGCTTACAATGGAAAACCTGGATTGAATCCTGCAAGCGTGCCCCAAGCAACCCCAAAGGTAAGACACGCGCCACTCGAGCCACTGTTGAACAGGTGGATGGGGGACAAAAGAACAGTATGCCTGCAGAATGGCCCGCCACTGGTCGCTGCATCCTCAAAGAAAAAACACGAAACGGCAGGCACCTGCAGGGCTCTGACACACCGCAAAGAGCCAAATATGAAAACAAACACAGTGTCCGCGTGACCTTTGGGCTGGCTCAAAGTCTGACTCGCATTTTGCCAATGAGTAGAAGTGATGAACCCGCTGTCGTGGAAGAACACAAAAATGCACAAGATGCTTTCCGCAAAACCCTTGTTGATTGCCCCTGAGAGGCCCAGTGTTCCTTGCCAACAGCGGTCCCAAAAAGATACATCCGGAAGTCACCCGTTTCGCACAACGATCCTCCAAAACAGCTGGCAAATGTGACCTTCGCAAACTACTAACCATCATTCCCAAACTGGAAATGTAGGAACCCGCTAGTAATAGAGCACCTTCCTGGATGAGCTCCTCGCACCCCCGGGTGCGCTTGGATAGATGTGATAATCAGCGTGGCTTTTTGATGTATCCTAGCCACCCTGAACACTCGTGGATGCTCAGGGTTCCCTACACTTGCTCGCGAAACATCACCCCACCAAAGGGGGCCAAAAGGTGATCCTTAATACAACCCAAACCAGGAAACTTGGGGAACCCTGTTGCAGCGAAATATGGGGAACCCTGTTGCAGCTCCAGTTGGAGTGCAAAGCCCCGCCCGGGCCCCGCCCGCCAACCTTGGGGCCGCTCCAGTGTTGGTTCACGGGGCCGCTCCAGCATCACTGACTCCGATGGGCTCGCCGGGCTCTTTGGGAACGAATCCTGGCGTAAAAAAACAAAATCAACAAGAGGAGCCCCAAACGTACGCTGGGGCGTGTTGCGGAATGGCTTTCCCCAAGAAAAAATAGTGGGGACTCCGGCCGTGTTTCGTTGGATTGGTATCTTGACTAGCACAGGGTTTCGAATGGATCTTAACCTGGATTCGGATTATATATATATATATATGTATATGTACCCGCGACTGGTCAAGGGACACTTCCGGAACCAGTCAGCTTTCAGGGAGATTCCAAGCGGCTGTGAAATTGACAGGTAACCTGACAAGTAGTTGTTGGATTTGAATTTCCTTCGAAACCTGTTGTCCACAAAAAGCGCCCCGAACCAAAGCATTGTTTACTGAACTCTGATGTCCAGCAGACGGTCCCACAAAGCCACACAGTACCCCTCCGCACCGCCCCCCCACCCCTTCCCCAAGCCAATCCCGCCTCGCCCGCGAACCGGTCCCAGACCATGGCCTCCAACTTGGCCATGAGCTTCTCGTGGCGCTGCGTCCTCAGATCGAACGCGCTGGGACCGATTGTTGGAAGAAAAACCGACCAACCTGCACAAACAAAATACAAAAGCAGACCACAAGGAAACCAAAAGCGATTTTGGAGGGCCTGAGGAGAAGTGAAGGATGTCTCTTTGGAGGTTGGAAGCGGCCGTTTGATGGGTTCGCAAAACTACTTTTTGAGCCAGTGCCCTTTTGTTTGCACTGGTATCCCTGTCTTTGAAGGCAACCTAAAGAGAAACCGAAGCCCACGTCGAGGGTTCCGAACCTGTGTCAACAAAGCGGAACCCAAAAAACATGTGCTTTTCCTGTTGGTGGTCGTGTAAATCATGGCTGGAGCCTTAGTTTATAAGGAACTCGTCACTTTTTGCGCGACCCCCCGCCCTAACAATCCACCCACATGATTCATCTTGGGTTGACATTAATTGCCAACCTTGATGGACATCATTGACATGGGGATGTATGTCCACCAAGCATTCTTGGCAAGGTTCTCTTTTCAAACAACTTCAAGAAGGGCACCCTCCCAAAAATCCGCCTGTATTAGCTTGCCACTCATGGTCGGAACTCCCTCAAAGCTTGTTGGATGTAACTGGGCTGCTCTTCCCCCCTGAGTAAAAGGTCGATCACGTTCTCTAGGTTTAACGGAGAAGCCATTTGTTTCCAAAAAGTCTATTGGGCCTTTGGGGCCACACCAAAGACCAGCCACAGCAAAGTGATGTCCACCAAACGCAACAAGTAGAATTCACACGGAGCGACCGAGACTCTAAGAGCCTTGACACCATGACGACGGTTTCCTTTCACCCAACACAGCAACAAAAAGCGACACGTATTTCCAATGTTCTGTCCGTGCTTGCTATTTCATGTTGAACGATCGAAAGATTTTAGCCAGAAGCCCGCCTCCCTCCGCCTCCCCGCGCTGAGCCGAGCCGCTCCACTGCCAGGTCTTTTGCCACCCGGCGCAGCGCGGTCTCCTGCTGGGCGAACCTGCGACAACTTCGCCAGGGAGAGAAGAAGAGTATTGGTTCCTCCAAGACATTGGAAATCCAATGAGTCCCTTGTTTTTGCCCGTCCCTTTCAAAAGGACAGTAGACTGGTAATTTAGCCGAACCCCAGATGGTTTAAACGCCCAAAATTGGTTTCGGCGTTCGTTGGGCTTCCCAACCACTACGTTTTGGGGGCGGGCGGAAAAATGCTGTGCTTTGTATTCTTTGGCCTTCCTTAACATCAACCTAAAAAGCAAGTGAAGTAGGTGGCCTCGGAGAGAAAAAGAGAAAAGCACGGCAAACGATGGTTTTAACAACGTGTTTTTTGGGGGTTTGGAGTTTATGAGCGCAGGTTGGGTTGCATCAGGCGCCTCTGGGGTTTGAAGGAGCTCCAAAGAATTTGGTTGCGCGAAACGGCTGTGATACTGATCGGTTTGTGATGTCCATCAGGAAGAGTTTCTCGGTTTGGAGGGGCTTCCCTTGAAACCAAAATCTCCACTGAGGTTCCTCCACATTCCCGGTCACAAGGCTTCACATGTTTGGGTCCATCATTTTGAGGCGAGCCCATATTTGCCTGGGCCGGAGACTCAGAGGATTCGGAAAAGACAATCGGGTCCGATTTCGCCTCTCACTGAAACGCTGGGCCAACCCGCCCATCCACGTTCCGGTTCGCCTCTGCAGAACCCTGTCCAGCGACAAGGCCTCGCAGTCCTCTCATGCGCGTCTCATCTCGTTTCGCTTGCGACCCAGGGTCTCCTTCTGACCAATGAAATTACCCCGAGGTGGGCACATCTTTAAGGGATGGCGCACTTGCTCAATCTAATTCTGACACTTGACCACTTGCAGTCAGCCTGACCTTCTCAGGCGCCAGAACAGCAAGCACATTGTCAGTTGGAAATCCATTGTCCATGGCTATAAAAATCTAAGGGCAACCAGAGCTCCAGTGAGAAAACGAGGGAAATAGGACACTTCTGCTCGTTAGTGTTCAAGGGGACCTCCTCCAGAAAGCAAAAAGGAAATGGAGGTGTGGGCCATGGCACCACTTGACCGTTTGAAGCCAGGCCAACAGCATTCTCCTCGGGCCACTCTGAAGGAACCGCAGCTGACACCTGCCCGTTCGAAGCACATGTGAGGTGACAAAACAAAAAACCCACCCACACTTTTCCCAAGCCATCACCTCTCTGGCTTTACTCGGGAAACCGATTCCTAGTCATGGGCGGTGGCGGATGGATGGCGCTTGAAAGCGGCCCTGATGAAAATCTAGTTGATTTCTTTTCAGATGCGCTTCCCAGGATGTTGTTTCTAGGCAGGTCTAAGATGGAAAGCTAGAGGGAATCCAAATGACACCAGTATAAATCCGGAGTCGGCAATACTGAGTACCGAATAGGTAGCTGGAAAAAACTGAAAAAGAACCCATCCCATATTGATGTCCCTTTGGATAAATTGAATAGTATGGGCTGTTTGGGAATGGTTGGGCCATCCGAAATATTTGCAATTCCCTGACGTCCTGCCCCAGAAAACTTGTGCCAAAAACAAGCCAAGAGTAAGACTCTAGGAAGCAGGGCAGTCTCTGGCTACCCCTTCTCTACCTGGAAAAAAAAGAACCCCAGTAAAGGTTAGTCACTGGGTTTTTTGCTCGTTTTTCGCGCGGCGAACTCGCGAGGTAATGTGTCCAAAACCCAGGTGGGTCGTTTGAATGTTTAGTGCACATCATTTGAGTCGGACTTTTGTCCACCAACCACTTCGTCTGGGTTCCCCATGAATTTTACTGTCGCTATGGTGCCCTTCGCCTCAGCCGCTGGTTTTCCTTCCATGTTGTGATCGCTCGGGAGCTCAGGTGGCCCCAGCCGATCAGGCGTGTCTCGTGACTGTGTGCTCTTTGACAAAGCCTTGCCGCAAAGCTGCTTGAGCTTGTGGTTCGGCTGATTGTCTGTTTCCTCACTTTAGGCTATGTTACGTATGTACAATGGCTGTTTAATCTCTTGAAATTGGATATTCACCCATGTATCTACTCTAGCCAATTTCTGTGTGTATATATATATATACATATATGTGCGCGTAAACATAGATGAAGCCGTTCATAGTCCCCCACTCGGCTCTGAGCCCAGTTCTGCCAGTTCTGCGAGAGCCAAAAGAGTCCAACAAGAAGCATCAAGGCCCGAGGGATATTCGATCCCTGGTTCAAGCAGGTAAAACTCACTTCCTGAGTCGCCTGGCTGAAAAGCAATCGGAAAGTTAGACAAAGGAGTCGAAAAAGAAGAGCTCAAAGGCACCAGAAAAATCATTTTGTTTCTTGAAGCTTGTTGAGTTCCCCGCTTTAAAGTGTCGAAAGGGGACGTTTTGGGTGGCAAAGATGCTACAGAACAAACCCCTGTCACTGGTCATGGACGTCTTGTTTTTCCCTTTCGTAGGACAAACCTTTGGATTGTGTTATCCCATCACGTCCTTAAACCAATCACAACCAGTTACAGCAAACCGACAAGCAAGGGGTGCATTAATCAGCCGGGGCTTGGGATTCTAAGGAACCTCACTTAAAAAAAAAATCGTATGACTACACAAAAACAATGCTTGTTCAGTTTCCAAGTAAACGAAAATAACATATTTGTCAAATGCACTGTGCCAGTCACCCAGGTTGGCTTGCTTGTCTTTGACGCTGGCAGCCGCCTTTATGGTGGCCAAAAAGCAAGCCCAAAATATAGTCGAGAGCCTTTGGCCCAAAAACAAACATTCGTGAGGGAATGAACAAATTTCCAAAGGGGTGAGTAAACCAAACCCTTTTCAAACCAAACAAAACAGGACGATTGCACCCCATCCAAAAAAACAAGCTTCGACGCGCCTCGCACCCGCAACAGCTTTTTTGTTTAGCCAGAAACGATTGACGTTTTCGCGCCCTGCTTTGAGACTTCCAACTAAACCAGCCAAAAACTGGCCACCGTGAAGGCGCAAGCCTGCTGGCCCATCCTGCAACCACCGCAAAACCACCGGCACAACGCCTTGAGCGCGCCTTGCAACTTCCACGAAGTTCGCAATTCCATCCCTAGGCGGGCAAAGAAGTTACAGACGCCACGCCGCGGAAACCCGGCAGTCTTTGCAAAAATGCAAAAACAAGATTGCGGCTGCACGCGCGTTTCCCCTTAGCAGGCAAGGAGTCACACGCCTACGACTCCGCCGGACTCCGCCATGGGTGCGTTTCGACTCAACGAAACGCAAAGCTTCTTGCGCGGAGTCGCTGTCTGAGGATCAGCACGGCAAGATACATCCAGTTTTCAATTATATTGGACCTGGACAGTTAGAATCCTGTTCACTGCTTCAAGCCAAGAGGGGACCAGTAATAAAAAGGGGGGAGGAACTCACAACTCGATCGGCCGAATCGCCCTGCTCCTTTTTATTTGGCGTTGCTCAGAAGTCCAGGCTCGAGGATGCAGGAGGGACGACAATGCGTGTCCATCCCCTGTCCTGCATCCCTCTGCGGAGCCTGCACATATACCCCCAAGGTTAACAACGTGTGTTCAACATGTTCACAGGGTGTATTACCCAGGGGTGTGAAACATAACTGGAGGTATTGTGGCACTTCAAGCAGCAATGCGTGCAGCTTGTGTGTGAAAAAATGAGGATTGCGTCCTCAAAGGATAAGACCCACGGCTGGTCCTGTTATGTTGTGTCAAGAGAGCAAGTTGACGTCCCGTGAAACGCTGTCCACCAAGCTTCCAGCTGATTGTACTCAACCACGTAGAAAGGATATACGGCCAAACCGATACAGTCAAACCAGTGTAAACTGTTGTAAGGGGTATTGTCCAATAACCACAAACACACACCCGATATCAGCGGCGCGAATGAACCTGTTTTCTCTCACACAGATCGATCACAGGCGAACGTAGTTCATGCAAGACCTTGAGCCCTACTTGTAACTTGAGCCAAATGTGGCGTCCAATAGAACATGGACCTCCCAATTTAGGCACGGGGCCATGAGGGTTTCAGC